TCGCAATTAACGTTGCTTACGTATAGGAATTAATAAATCGCATTGAAATATGTGCTAAACTATTATTAAAAATCTAGTAACTACACCTAAGTCAGTGACTAACGCGAGCAGGGAAAATTCTATCCTGAGATTTCAACCCTTTGCGTTACGTCTGCAAATACAGATGTAGAATGAGAGTTGACAAGAAGGTAATAAAAAACCTACCCTCAAAACGTGGGACAGGAACACGTGACGAAGCCCCATTAACCATTGCCCCTTGTTGAAGAGGCTTGACTATTGCACTTTGCACTTTTTTTTGCTAACAAAACATTTTTATTTTTTAATTAAAAGTACACATTACTGTGAGAAATTCCCCGAAATGTTTTGAAATGTGAACGTTCAAATTTACCGCTATTCTGGCACACCATGAAGTAGTCTTCGGAAACAAAGAAGCTCACATTACCTAATTCCACAATTTACCTCTGTTCTATAAATTAAAAAAAAAAAAAGAAAAGAAAAGAAAAGAAAGAAAGAGAAACTAAAAATGAATTGATTGGAAGCTTGGGTTATATTAATTCGCTTTCAGTTGAACTCAGTTCGTGTTATCTTCCATTTAGCGGGATAGGTCAAGATAAAATACCTCCACCTCATCAGGTGAGAAATCCCCTCCAGGTCCCTTCAGGATATTGGCCTTGTTCACTGAAGCTGGAGCAGAGTAGTACGTGCCCAAAGATGCGTGTGATTTGAGATCAAGATAAATGATGAGGTCCGAACCAAACTTTGGACCAATATATGAACGCCTGTCAATTGCCGCTCGTGTGTATTCTGGCTTCACCTTGCTCAAAAACGGTGCCAACCCTTCATAATTGTTGAGAGAAAAGATAAACGCATTGGGGGTTCCGGCATAGCCACCACTGGATTCTAACAAAACAAAACATAAAAAGTATAACATAAGAATTTAAAATGATTGAATATACTTCATGTTTTTCTATTTCTTTAACTAACATTTTTGTTATCATGTATATTTTCCTTTCAGCAGACAGTAAAATAGCCTATCTGTACGATTTTTATTTGCTAATTGATTATTTTTGATACTAGAAATACGTTGATCGCAATATCTCTTGAAGGCGTAAATGGGCAGCAGTACAAACAAATTGAAACCAACCAGGCAATAGATTAAACAAAAAAAAAAGGTTATAAAAAAACAAAACGGCGAAAAAAAATTTCAGTTTTTCCACGGTCAACGGCTTTTCTTGCTGGCTGCTAAAGCACAACTTTGAATGCTGCTTTCTGTGGATGACAAGCCTCTCTGATTCTTTCATTTAGTTTCATAACTCGCCATATAGTTCATTAGTGTTCGTAGTATGTCGTTTGTATATTGAGCGCTAAAAGCAGTATTAGCGAGTTGCATCTATCTAACGATTTCTCCATGCTCTTTGTCAGGGTCCAAAATTGGTTCAACAAGCTAGTGCTCGACAGATGCTTTTAAATCTAATAATTTGAGATAGTGTTGAACACCGCTCTCTGCAGCACCATCGCTGATAAGCCCTCTATCTTCTGCTCCAAGATGGTGAAATTCAAGATTGTCCATCTTTTACCGTATTTATAACCATAAAACGTTCATTCCAAAATATCTAGATAACGCTCTTACAGATTTCGCTTAAACTTCACGAACATCGAGGCAGCTATTGGAGGAAAGAGCTTCCGTGAACAATTTTGGGTGAACTGTCCCAGTTCAGAGAAATACTGCTGCAAGTAGAATAGGTAAAGGCTTCATTTCGTTACTATGACAATTCCGGATCCGATGTCATTGCAACCCTGATCATAACAAATTTCATCTTTACCTAATACAACTATAATAGCAATTTTTCGAAGTAGTTTATGCTCACACTAAGAAAGTATTTACCCTGAAAAACTGTATCGAGCCACCTTAACTCATTTGAATGGGTAAAACGTAGAGAGCTTAAGTATAGTATAAACGGCATATCGAGGCGTGTCTCTCTGACAAATAATTCATCATTTAGGAAATGATATTAGTGTTTTTCGCTTCCTATTAAAGCATTACTCTATTGTAAACTATAATGCTAGTACTATTGTTGGAATCATATTGCAGTTATGAGGAACAACTGTAGGAGTACCTTAAGGTGTCAGTGAAACACCCGTGGCACTAAAGCCCTTTCAAAGGTACTTAAAAATCAATATCAAATCTTACTCCAAGGAATGTCAGTGTATCCTCCAAAGACATATTGGCCTTTCTGTACGATGGTCACAGTATTTCTTTTATCGTCACAGCCTTTATGGAAGGTGTTAGGTTCCCAACCATCTGAGGTAGCACGGTAGCAAAGGCGCCAGGAAGAATCCTCCTTAACCTCCGGAGCGCTAGCAAGAAAACGGTGAAGATGCTGGAGATAATACTGATTTTCATGTAATATTGTTGAGTTTATTGAAAATTCTGAAAATAGAAACACATGGATCATACAAAAAGGTTATTTTGGATATGCGAAAATATCACGGTCAGTGAATCTATTGTCTGCATATGGAGGTAGATTAGATAGAAAGGTAGATAGGTAAAAAGTGAATGAATGGATGGCTGCATGGATGGATGACTAATCTTTCTTTAAGAAAAAAACATGCCTGCATGCATGCATATTATAATGATAATGAACAAAGAGAAAGAGGAAAAATAACATTACAGAAGAAAACCAGTCAAAACAAACAAAAAATGCCATGAACTCTGCAGCAACGAGCAGGAATATCACCAAAGCCGCGTGACAACTCCGAAATGAACGAGAGCGTGAAAGTGAGTAATAGCACGGTTCAGTTAAGGAATGCTAAACAAAGGATATACCTTAGCAGATCGAGCTGATTAGGTGTTCTCTTACTGGAACGAGAGATAAAACTGCATACATTTTTATGGGATAATCGTGGATCAGGTGGACGGAAGGATGTAGTAAAGGGATTGACGAAAGTGTAGATTAATACCAAACCTTTTTAGGGTAGTCCAAAGACTATTGGACATCGCNACTGGAACGAGAGATAAAACTGCATACATTTTTATGGGATAATCGTGGATCAGGTGGACGGAAGGATGTAGTAAAGGGATTGACGAAAGTGTAGATTAATACCAAACCTTTTTAGGGTAGTCCAAAGACTATTGGACATCGCAGTAATAGTGTCTTTAAGAGACCACTGACATTTTCTAAAGGAATTAAAGTAGATTATTCGCTGATATGCGTCTCAACCATGCATCACCTCGAGCACTGCCAGTTTTGTATAATTATTCGTTTTTGTTTTGGGACAGAGTTACATTGTACATGCATCTGAATTCTGAATGATCTTGTAATTCAGCTTTGCTCGTACAAACTCTACAAATACAATCAGTTATCCCGTGTTAGTAATGTACAGTCGTAATCTGTGTTAATAGTTAATACGTTCTGATGTACTGTCTTCATTCATACCCGTCAAGAAGAGCTTCGGGATTTATCGAATAGCAGCTACAGCTGTTATGGCATTGTTGCTACAATCGTGAGAGTTGAACCGGCATTCGTCTATATCTGAATGATAATTAATTTTACTTAAGATGCATCTTGAATGAATTCTACGCAGGACAGTATGTGACAACAAAGATATTATGTACTAAAGATTACGGAATGCGGACGACAGCGAAGGTCTTACATGGTGCTCTTTCTCAACCAACGCTGTGGTTTGTGTAAGTTTTAGTGATAGAAAGTCACTGAAATCAGGCGTAATCAGATAACGAGTGATAGAAGGTCCAGATGAGCGTTATCAGATTGCGACTTCTGCATTCCACTGCATTCTTAGTGGAATTCTGAACGAAGCTGCCTACAATACGTACAGTGCAGGCGTGATGGAGATTAGGATTGCGGGCTCCTCTTGTCGCCGGCCGCAATTACTCTTTGGCAATTTTTTTTTCTCACACTCGATCGGACCCTCGGTTTTTTATCTTTGAGACGACAACCAGTAGATTTGTTCTCGAAGATTTTCTATTCGAGCAACCAAACTAACAATCTGCTAGATCATTCTCAGTCACCTAATTGTTTGTAGAGGGAAAAAACTTATTCATCCTTTGTTTGTTCCTAACACGCTCTCCTATGCAGAAATCCACCCAACATGTCCACTGAAATCCGTTGCTAAAGAGTCCACCAAACGTTGAAGTGTGGGATGGATTTGATACGACGGCAAATCATAGTAAGAAAAGCAATTCTCGAAGACCGCAAATCTTAAGTGAAAGAAAGGCTTCATTTTACCTCTTTTATTTTCTTACCTGCTTGACAGCGCTTACCCCTGAAACCAAGAGGGCACAAACATCGATATCTTTCTACTGTGAATCCGGATTGACAGGTTCCTCCATTTAAACAATCGAATTCTTCACAGGCATTCTTAAAAGAGAAACAGAGAAAATAGTAAATGACAGCAAACGAGTAGCTGGATGATTAGGATAAAGTGATATAATCAGTGGAAATTTTGCTTTTTACCTTAAGAAGAAGAAGAAGAAGAAGAAGAAGAAGAAGAAGAAGAAGAAGAAGAAGAAGAAGAAGAAGAAGAAAAGTAAACGAGAAATGATGTTGACGGTGATGATGATGATGATAATGATGATAATGTTGATGATGAGGAGGAGGAGAAGGAGAAGGAGGAGGAAGAAAAGGGGGAAGGGGAAGGAGAGCAGTTATCTAGAAAGAGCTTACATCTACTCCATGATAGAGGTAACCATTTTCATCTTTGAATTCGTTATTATGCCATCGATGAGTAGCGTTGTTTAACTCACATGTTTTTGTGCTCACGTGATAGTTGACACTCACGCAATTGTGTTCGTAGTAACAATGCAGCTTGCAGTTCTCAAAATCAGCAACAATTTTAGTTCCTATAGTGTGGTTCACCAAACGCTTGCTAATGAAGGAGAAAGGTCCTGGGAACTCTAGTGTACGACCATTATCTGAAACAAGAAGGAAACAAATGAATGGGCCCGTAATTTTTTGGGTAAAAATACCACTTGTGCAGGGGTTTTTTCCTAAGGTTTCCTTCGTGGTCTTTGTCTCAGAGCAGGGAACTACGTGTAACTGATGTTTATATTTTAGCAGTAGGAAGAGAGCGCCAACTTTGAAGGGGACTTAGGCCCGGTTCAGACGCCGAACTTTTCATGAGCCGAACCTAATTCGAATTAAGACCGACCCAAATTATTTAGACGGGCTAAAGTGGTTCAGACGCCGATCTTTATTCCAGCCGAACTAAATTCAGAAGGCGAAAAATGCGCATTTCGGTCAAACTGCTTACAAAATACGTTATAAGAATTTCTGCATTTGGTTCGGTACATGAAAAGTTCGGCGTCTGAATCAAAGGCGTTCCANCGATGAGTAGCGTTGTTTAACTCACATGTTTTTGTGCTCACGTGATAGTTGACACTCACGCAATTGTGTTCGTAGTAACAATGCAGCTTGCAGTTCTCAAAATCAGCAACAATTTTAGTTCCTATAGTGTGGTTCACCAAACGCTTGCTAATGAAGGAGAAAGGTCCTGGGAACTCTAGTGTACGACCATTATCTGAAACAAGAAGGAAACAAATGAATGGGCCCGTAATTTTTTGGGTAAAAATACCACTTGTGCAGGGGTTTTTTCCTAAGGTTTCCTTCGTGGTCTTTGTCTCAGAGCAGGGAACTACGTGTAACTGATGTTTATATTTTAGCAGTAGGAAGAGAGCGCCAACTTTGAAGGGGACTTAGGCCCGGTTCAGACGCCGAACTTTTCATGAGCCGAACCTAATTCGAATTAAGACCGACCCAAATTATTTAGACGGGCTAAAGTGGTTCAGACGCCGATCTTTATTCCAGCCGAACTAAATTCAGAAGGCGAAAAATGCGCATTTCGGTCAAACTGCTTACAAAATACGTTATAAGAATTTCTGCATTTGGTTCGGTACATGAAAAGTTCGGCGTCTGAATCAAAGGCGTTCCAAAGTCGATCCAAAGGCGAAATTCCCGGCCGGGCTAGGCGAAAAGAACGACTGAGCCGTTCCAAATTGAAACAGGCCTTCCTAATTAATTCAGACGCCGAACTTTTCATGTACTTAATTCAATGTATTAGGTTCGGCTCATGAAAAGTACGGCGTCTGAACCGGGCCTTACATGTTCCCCGTTCCTTAATTCTCTCTACCGCAAGATATTTTCGCTAATAACTTGTGCAGAAAATAAGAAATTTCAGTCATGCAAGTTAACAGATCAATTAATAATTAAGTGTTCTGGCTATAGGCAGTCAAAATGGCAGCAAATAAAAGAGAATTCTAGTTGCACTGTTGTTTTCAAACAATTCCTTCCCATGCTGTGAATATTGCCAATCCACCTTCTTATACGGTAGTTTACGAAAAATAGTTTGAACTCAATTCAATTGCATAAGGGAAATTACCTTGAAAATAGTGAAAACACTGTTCTACTGCATAAAGATTTTAAAATCCCAACCTTACATGGCATATTTTTCGAGATGTAGAATTTCGTGTTTTTGTCCAAAGCTGCACACAGGTCATTTTGCGCAAAATTTAGTTAGCGAACTTTGAATCGTCGAAAAATCATAAATTCTTAAATATTCCACGTACAGATTTATATTAATTTTGGTCTCTTTTTATAGCTTAGGAAGTATGCTTTTCAGAAAATAAAAAGATTTATGGTGCACCGATGAAGCCTTCCGAATTACTTGTCTTCAAGGACATTGACAGTAATTTTTCCGGGGTTATATTTTTTTCCTTGCGCGTAAACAGCCAGTGTCTTTGCGAAAAATAGTTTGAACTGAATTAATTCGATTACATAAACGAAAATTACCTAAAAAAATAGTTATTAGAACTAAACTGTTAAACTTCATAAACAATCTGAAGTCCAGACTTTATATAGCATATTTTTCGAGATATTGAAGTTCGCGTTTTTGTCCAAAGTTGCGCAAAAGGGCATTTTGCGCAAAATTTAGTGGTCTTAAATGCGAACTTGGAATCTTCGAAAAACCATTGGTAGTGAAGCCTTCCAAACTATTTTGCTTCAAGGACACAATCAATTTTAAGGCGTTATTACTTTTTCTCAGCGGTATAAACAGACGGTGTATTTGGGTAAAATATTTTGAACTCAATTCGATTGTATGACCAATAAAAAGCCTAACAGCCTTGGAATAAAGATATATGGAAAATATCAATGAATCAAGAAATTCGATAAGCACTTATATCCAATCCTTTACACAGCATATGCTATTAAAAAAATATACGAGAATTTTGCATGACTATTCCTGTAATGAGATTGAGTTAGTCAAAATGAGTCAAAAAAGAGATTAATTAAAAACAAAAACACTCACTTTTGAACATAAAAACAACTGTTTACAAAGAATAAAAAAAGGAATATCAAAAGTCGCTCTTTGTCAGCCTTAAATGCAGTAAATGCTCACCCCGTCAATCTCATTTTAAGCGTTTCACAGCTTGCAGCATGACTCGAAGTATCGTTAAGCTTTTTTGTTTTCTGGTTTTTATGGATAAGTACCTATTTTTGCTTTAATTTACTACAAAGTTTGGGGTAGTGGAACACAAAGTGTCCGAAATTCATTCCACTACTTCAAAAAGGTTTAATTATATATATTTGAATTGTTAATTCCACTTTTGGATGTTTAATTGAGTTGCCTTCAAGGTTAGGTAACTTAACTAAAGAAGGTTTGCAAACCAAATTTTGAAGATGATGTAAAATGCTTACCATCAGTGCAACCAAAGGCAACTGGGAATAAAAACAGAGACAGACCAAAGGCACAAATTTGGAGACAAACGTCCATGCTCGGCATTATCCCTACTATCTTACCTCAGTGGTTCAGAAACTAACAACGTGCGCCCAAAACGGTAAAATATTGACAGCAGGATGACCCTATCACGTTTCTCTCGACTTCAAATAGAGAACTTTGTCATGACAGCTTTCAGTATTCAACCATTAAGAACATACGGACAGCAAACAATATTTCTACGGGTAGCTGTTGCAAAATTTCAATATCCCTGTTTTAATGGACTAATCGCTTGTTATTGTTTTGGTACCAATTTTTATCGAACACGTTTCAAGAAGAGATAACCAAATTCTTAACTGAATTCGACTTGAAGAAAGTGACATCATTTCGTAAAATTTCCACGAAAGTGACGAGAAACTGATGTAGATTCCTTAGTCCTGTGGGGCTCGCTCAGCAGTAGACTCTTGCACCCACTCCCAGTAATTCTCCATGCATAAATTTTTCTGCCTTACGGGAAAGTAGATAGTAGTTTTTCTCTCTTTTAAATTCATAAGAATTTATATATCCTCTGTATTTGGAAGTGTAAGAGCACCAAAAAGAGATAAATGTGATACAAAACTGCCTCACGCAAATGAAGCACCCTCAGTATGTTAACTTTAAGTGCAGTTTAGCAATTATCGCAGCCGGCAGCATTAGGGGTTTGTTTATCTTGTCTGTTTACCTTACTCTACTTGCCTGTTAAACAAAATGTTTCCCCGAGGTTTCACTTAGAACATGGAGCTACTTAAAACTGTAGGTAATAAAAACGGTCAGTTTTGAAGTTAATTGAAAGTATGCTGTTTAGAAGCAGAAGCATATGCTTCTGTTAGAAGTTAATGATCCAGGGGAGAGCCACACCTAATTGTTGGAAATATGATTCTCACAAAACAGATACGTTTAGATCTACCAACTACGACCTTTTTTGTACAGATTAATGATTACGGAAAGTGGGAAGCAAGTTTTCAAATCAGTATTAAGCCACAGGAAATAGTTTTAACTTTTGCTTCGCGAAACGGCAAATTTAATGAAGAAGTAAATAAATTCTGCACTACACGTTCTTGTTTGGCTAATGTTTACCGTGTGGTTGGCTCATTTTGAGTAAACTGAGTCAATTCAATTAAACCTTTCCAGCAAAAAGCCTGATTCTCAATATTATATTGATTCTCAATATATAGGCATTTGACATTTATCCACCTGCTGTTAACGTACTCCCTAGCTATATAAGAATATAAGACTAGTATAACTGGCCATTTTATATTTATTATTAGTAGTATGTGTAATCAAATGGTGACGAGTGAAATTAGGGAATAATTTCACTCGCGTTTTGTCCAAATCCTTTTAATTTCCCAAACCTTTAGGCGAGGGAAATTATTAGGATTTGGACAAAACGCAAGTGAAATTATTCACTAATTTCACGAGTATACCATTTGATTACCTGTTAATATCATGGGTGACGAATTACGTTAGCAAACTTGGATTATTGACATGTTTATCCTGGATCGTATCGATCGAGAACGCCACTCTCTCAAACGTTTAGAGCTTAAATTTGACTCAAGTTTCGAATTTTTCTACAAAATACCTGTTAGAATCCTTCTTGATGTGCTCTTTGGTGAGTTTAGGCTTTCTAAAGCTTTTTTATATGTCCTGGCATCTTCATTCATGACATTTTAAAACTTCCTCGCCATCTTGACACTGAGACGTACGGAAGGTTCCCATGGCAAGTTTGTAATTTCACATGTGAAATTACAAATTATCGCTGAAATTTCGCGCCAAAATTAAGAAGTAATTCGTCTCCTATGATATTCTTCTTCTTCTTCTTCTTCTTCTTCTTCTTCTTCTTCTTCTTCTTCTTCTTCTTCTTCTTCTTCTTATTATTATTATTATTATTATTATTATCATTACTATTATTGTTGTTGTTGTTGTTGTTATTGTTATATTTTTATTTTTTCTAAGGGCTGGGATGACTTGGAAAATAATTATAACTAGAACGGGCGGATGATAATTTGAAAATCGAAATATCGGTACTATAGGAATAGTAAACTAACTAAACTCAAGTACAGGGATAAGGGGTAACCAAACATCCCTCCACCTAAATGGTGCAGACTTAAAACTTAATTATATCTTGCGGTTTTGGAGCAACAAAGAGAAAGTTGAGCTGATTCGAGTGGAGGCTTATAACTAAATAGTCTCCTTCGCAGCCGTTATTAGGGTCGTCACTCGTCACGCATTA